AAGCCTTGTGTCTAAAGTAGACCGCGGTAACCTCTACAGCAGCTCCCCGTTTCGTCTCACAGGAGCAGCTGCAGTGTGCCCTCTTCCTGTAGCTTGCTACTTCTGCGAACAAGTGTACTCCACCACGTCACCACATCTCTCTTCTGGTACCCTTTCCTCCTCAGAAACTTCCCCGCTAATTCTTGTTTACTTGCCACTGTACGATTCAGTCCCGCGCCACAAACCCCAGATTTCCTTCGTTCAATCTTACACATTGCTGCAAAGATTTGGCGACCATAAACATGGGTCTTAGGGCCGTTTTAAACGGACCGACTCTTTGTCAAAATTCTTGAAAGTGTCGAAAAATGGAACCTGTATGTAGGCGTTTGTCCATATTTTTTAAAAATATTTGGAACGAAGTTGGGCGCGAAAACTTTGCTCCACTTCGTTCCAACTTTTTGACAACCCTCTCAAAGTATTTGGAGCACTTTCCAAAGTACCCTTGCAGAGGCACGCGAGGGCTGCTGCGTCTGCACCACGAGTGCCCCTCACCGTAGAAGTCAGCTAGGGTTGTGTGTGAGTCATCTGTCGCTGTCGCTTTTGCTATCGTCGCTGTTGGCAACGTTGACGATGCTGTCTGCTGTTATTGCTGTGTCGTAAGAAAAACGGCGGTCCGCCATGATGGCTTGCAGTTGTTGCTTCGCGTCCGCCGCTTTGTTTTTTCCTTTTCCCGGGGGGGTAGGAGCAGTGGTTGCCACCCCTCGCCGGCGGCCTGCTCCACCCTCGCTCTGAGTGTTGGTGGCGGCAGCGCCTCCCGTGGTAACATGAGTGTTCCCCGAGATGCCAGGCAGCAGCACTATCTTGCTGGAGAGCAAGCCTCCACCGCCTACGGCGGCACCGAGAGAGCCCGTCTGCTGGAATTTCGCCGGGGTTTTGGTCTGCTGGCCACGCTGGGTGGTCGTGATATTCATGTCGGTGTCCATGATGTCGTGTTTTCCGCGGTTTGTGTTGTGTCGTGTGTGTTGTCTCGAAGTGAGCGCTACAACTCACGGACGGCGTCATTTTTTTGACACACGTTGCACAAGTCCACGTCACACGTTTAACATAACTGCACACAGGTTCCAAGTTTTTGAAAGACAAATGTCGAAAATTCCGACTAAAAAGTCGGTCCGTTAAAAACGGCCGTTACGACGCACAGGAAAATCGCAGCTCAGAAAATATCACAAAAAGATAACGGAAAAAGCAGGAAAGAACACGCGTGCTGATTGGACGACGGTCCCTGACCTGCACACATGGAGAAACCAGCGCCCGAAGCGTCCCCACCTGAGCCGTCTCTATTCTAAAAGCCCTATCAAATGGCCCCTGAAATCCGATCTAAGCGAGGGGCCATTTGGATAGGGCTTTTAGAATACAATTGGAGCGCCGAAAACGGAGCACAAAAAGAGGTTTTCAAGATATTGCCGTAGAGAGAAAACGAGACCCCAGCGTTCAAGCTCCAGGATGCCCGGGTGCCCCTTTCATCGGTGGGTGGAGTGCGTCTTTGAGTTAGGCCCTGGTAGCGCTTTTCGCCCAAGCACAGTATGACGCGGCGCAACTTCGCTGTAGAACCTGAGAAGCAGCAGCAGCGGGGCCAACCTGTCAGCGCTCCGCCACAGCAGTTTACCCGTCTACTACCCGCGTCCGCGCCACCCTAGGCGATGGCGGTCAACGCATACCCCGATACTCCCCTCGTGGAGGACTTCAGAGGAGGAAACACCCTGGCAGTTTTGCGCCAGATGAAGGAGGTGTATGAAAGCCATCCTGGGCGCGTACGAGAATTGTTTTCGATGCCGCCGTGGCGGTAGGAGCGGGCTCATGCCTGCACGACGATCCGCCAAAGGCTCTACCAAGACGGTTGACGCGCGATCAGGGCGTCGAAGCTGCGAAGGAGCACCCTGGGCTCTGTGGATTATATCTGGCTGGGGTTAGTTACGACGATGTGGTCGCTACTGCGGAGAGGCGTGGCGTGAGCGTCACCTTCAACGTTTTTCGCAACCAGGTACGTGCTGTAGTACTGCTGTAGGACATGAGTACAGCAGGTCTACTGCCCCGTTCTGCTTGTAGGCTTTAGGTTTAGGTTGTCAAATGTAAACATGCCCTCGGTGTCCGTAGCAGGCGTGCCCGTTTCTGGCGAGGCTGATGACCCAACCGTGGAAGCTTGTACCATTCGTTTATTGAAGCCCTACAGCAGCGGGACGGTGGCGCTCGTCACACCCAACACTACTGCTGTATCTTATTTACTTCGTATCTCGTTGCCTCGACATTCAACCAACTGCAATGACTGCTGTACGCCCTCCCGTCGATTTACGGCTTGTCCATGTTTGTAGAATAATCAGTTCGGGCCCAGGATACAGCTTGGGTCGAACGTGTTGCACATCATAATTTGACAGGACGTAGCTTGGTAAATCATGTTTTGCACCCGATCACACGAACAATGCTCTTCTCGTCCAAGAGCAGCGGATGCTCTTTTTGTTTTCTTGGAGGGGCCATCCTGCCCTGTTCTTGCGATGTGATGGGTTGGACTACGTGTGCTGACATGTGGATGGAGAGGGTACGGTGCAAACTGACTTCTCTCACGTCCCTGTTTCTCCTTCCTCGCACGCACTCATGCCCACACAGTGTTGCTTCGACGCCGCCAAAAAGCTTCGTGCGGATGGCATGGGCGTCCAACTCGCTCGGAAGGAGTGTTTCACTCAAGCGTTCAAGCTGTTTTTCCCGGGAATGGCACGCCAGACCAATGGGTGGAAACCGCATTCAGCACTGAAAACGCGTGATGGTCAGACGTCCTGGCGCGAGAGGGATGATGGTGGATGCCGCGGTTCGGAATGTAGGAGAGAGCCATGTGGCGCCTGCAGGGGTGATGACTACCGTGCCTAGGAATGTAGCAGATCACCGTGCAGTTGGATTTCGCATTTGCCTGGTAAGGGCCACCTCGCTTGTGACCCGCGGCGCCGGGAGGGGGGAACGGGAGGGGGAGAGAGGTGTCTACTTTTGTTCGTGATGCATGAGGTACTAGAAGTGCCATAATTCCAGGGAGTTAAGCAACGTACCTGGTGCAGCAGTACTTGTTCTGACCTTGACGTAAGTGCTTCCTCTAGGCGTGGCATATCAACATGGGGTGGCGCGTGGGAAAGGAACGTGATTGGAGTGTACAGGGAAGGGCCGAGTGTAAGCCGTTGTCAACGAGAGAGAGCAGCATAAGCTTTGCGAAATGGTCCCTTTGGTGACCGTTGAGAGAAGAGAAGGGCACCAAAACCTAGTTGTCCAAGAAACACGGCTCGTTGTTCAGGCAGTAGTCCAAAAAAAATGTTCTACACCTCGTTTGTTTGTGAGCAACAAGCACCTGCAGACCCTGTGCGTGCTGTGCGTAGCTGTTTGTTGGTTGGAGTGTAGCTGCGCGCAGATTGGTGCAAGCGCACTCGTTACCGATCGGGATATTCTTTTCGAGGCAGTAATAATCAGATTGCGGACTCGAAGCCCGTGAGACCAAATACTCCAAAACCTCCACACAACAGTATTCTGTAGCGGGTGGGGGGCGGAGGAGGAAGCCGCACTTGGAACGCAGCTGATGTACGAGAGAGAAACCGCGGGCACTTGTTGAAAACGCAAGAAATTCCTCTTCCTCGTGCCCACGCGGAAAAACAACACCGGTAGTCGAGAGGCGTACCTCAACGGAAGCCATGTTTGTGCTAGGATCACGGTTGGTGTGCAAGAGGGAAAGCGAGCAATTTTTCGAACACAAAAAAAAAAAAATCCTTCCCGTCGTGCCCACGCGAAGAAAGAACACCGGAAGTCGAGACGCGTGTTTGAAAGGAAGCCAAAGGCGCTTGGATCACGGCCGATCTGCAAAATCGAAATCGCATAGTTCGTGGAGCGCAAGTGTTTTCTTCAGACAACCACTATCATTTCCGGTGCCCACGAGAACAATTTAAACAACCTTGGGAGGGCCTCAAGAACGCTTCGTAGCCTTGACCACTTGACCTGTTTCTTGCACCTCTTGGACTGCAGGAACGCCTCAACATGTTTTTTTCAGCGAACACAACCCCCCGCGCTCTCGTGCCCACGAAAAGAAACATGCAAACACATGTGGTAGTCGGAACGCAAAATTCGCTGGGAACCTACAGTATGCTCATTCCCTTCATAACTTGAAAGCTTTCTTTTCCCTCCCAGGGTTGGAGGCTGCCGCGAACGCCGAGGCGTGCTTGGGCGGGTCGCTGTGGCAGCGACGACACACCACAACGCCACCTAACGTTTGACACCGACTGCACATGCAGACTGTGGTAACTCCTGCCCCCTTGGCTTCCCCTTACTCTTTCTCTTAGCGTTGGTTTCTTTGCACTGTCACACATCCTCCCCGCGCAATGGAACCGTTGGCCTTTTCTCAGAATGTTGAAGTTACCATCCCCCAACTTTGCCCTGATTGCCGCCACTACACGGGTGTTTTGATGCGCCCGGCGCCCCCTTTCTGCGTCGCCCAAGTTGCACAAGGAAATGAGGTAGCAGCTAAGCTCCCTCATCCATTTTGCTCTGGACTGCTTATCTAACGTGCTCAACCGCTCTTTCTTCCTCCTCTCGCAGCCCCTTGAAAAACAGCCCATCTGCAGTTTTCTTCGCCCTCCATGNAAGGAAATGAGGTAGCAGCTAAGCTCCCTCATCCATTTTGCTCTGGACTGCTTATCTAACGTGCTCAACCGCTCTTTCTTCCTCCTCTCGCAGCCCCTTGAAAAACAGCCCATCTGCAGTTTTCTTCGCCATCCATTACCCCCTTTTGTTCCAACTGCTTGATCGCCTCCGCCACCCCACTCTGCATGTGTCTCAACCACCACCGAAACATCAACCACGCGTTCGTACAGGCCTGCATCAATTTCTGTTCAAATAGACGTCGCCAAAAATATTTTTTCGCACGGTGTTTTGACAGTTACGCTCCGTTGTGCTGGTCCGAGATGTCTACTCCCCCCATGTACTTGTTGTAGTGGAATCTACACCAAGGCTGGAAACCGTCTGCCTTCGACCTTTGTCCCGCCACGTGCTTGCTGTCGATGTGGACGTTAACGGCGAGGGCGCACGGGGCCGGATGTAGAAGGTTATGTGTCAGCATGGTCAGGATATGGGCCACGGTATCTAGACACATAATCACGAACCGGATATAATCAACCTCTAGACACACATGGTGGCAAGCATCTCAAAACCAGACGCATGTCGTGCCCACCGTGCCCACCTGTACTCCTTTGGTAGAAAGTGCTTCGGGCTGAGGTGGACTGTGAACAGGAATTTGACGACCTTGGAATCCTTCCACTGCATGGACACCAAGGATCCGAACCTCGCGAACACCACTTCGCCCTTCTTCCGGACATACTGCCTCGTAGCAGTCCTGTACTGCATGGCCTCCTTCGCTCCACGGTGTGTGTCCTTCAGAGTCCCGACGGCAAAAATCCCGTGCCACAACAGGCACATGAAAAGGATGGGCAAGGTGAAACAGTTGTCGCACGCCATGTAGGTGCCCGACCTAAAAAAGTGCGCTCCCAGTGCCGGACACGCGCAAAATAAGACAAAAATCACCAACCGGCACACCCGCCGCAAGGGACAATTAGACCACTGCTGAAGCTTCGGATTACCGGCATACCCGCCGTCCGTGTATCCCGTGAAACAGTACCCGCTCCAGCAACATACTCCCCAAATCTTCACCCCTGGAAAAAATATATATCTACGTCGGCGGGGCTGGTGAGCGAACGATCCGCTCCCCTCGTGTCATTCCTGAGCCGACTGGTTCGAAGCTAAACACTAAAGAGTGACATGCCTGGCGAGGAAGTCTCATACCATTTCATCGCTATCATCACGGGTTACATATCGTATGTTTCCATGAACGAACGGAAGATAACAACGACAACATGGAGCGTTTTGGTGGAGGGGGTAGTGGTGGAGTCTTGAGCGTTGCATAGCTTATACAGATCCTACGAAGGCACATTATTTGTTTGCGTACGTCGCTTGCTCGCCGCGAGTTTGGCATGCTCACCGTGCTCGATGGGCTTTTTTGGCATGTGCCTCATCATGAAATTTGCGGAACGGCTAACGCACTTGACCATCTGCTCGTCGAATGAGATCAATCGACCCACCAGAGCGGCTCCAGTCCACGCCGTGTTCAACATGAACTCCAACTCGCTACACGTATACAACGAGAGACGATTACACGAAAGGGGGCGGCAAGCGACGATTGGTGTTACCAGGGTGCGCGGTTGATTTCATGAATTCGACGTATCAACTTTGTACGGTATCGTGCAATATCAATTCGGAACGGTACCCCGTATCCGGAAAAGAAGGTCAAGGCAGGGGGTGGGGGGGGGCGTACTCTTATGTTTTGCATGCCTTAGCGGTTTGACCATTGACCACGCGTCCTCGACAGGACGGAGCATTGTTCCCACAGGACCGATCACCGATGGCCAATCCTTTCTTTCTACTTTGCCAAAGGTGGCTCAAAAATGTCTTTCCTAGTCTGTCTATCCTAACGACATCTCTTCCCGCCTTTTCAACCCACCTCCTATGCCCCACTACAGCTACCGTCCTTTCCTCTCTATTCCATGCCTCAAACATCTCCCTGTACGTCCTTTTTTTTTTTCCCAGCTCAGTCACGTACACTTCGNTCGACAGGACGGAGCATTGTTCCCACAGGACCGATCACCGATGGCCAATCCTTTCTTTCTACTTTGCCAAAGGTGGCTCAAAAATGTCTTTCCTAGTCTGTCTATCCTAACCACATCTCTTCCCGCCTTTTCAACCCACCTCCTATGCCCCAGTACAGCTACCGTCCTTTCCTCTCTATTCCATGCCTCAAACATCTCCCTGTACGTCCTTTTTTTTTTTCCCAGCTCAGTCACGTACACTTCGCTCTCCTCCTTGTACAACGGACATTCCGCGACTACATGAACACGGTCTTCACATTCGAAGCCGCAATCACATTTGAACTCGTCGTCTTCGTCGTCTACCGTCCAGTGTCTTCGTCGACGTTCTCGAAGGCCTATGTCCACGGTCCTGAATTCGACCTTAAGCATTGTACCTGCATCCATTGGTCCATGTAGGTAGTCCTTGAACCCTATTCCTTCCTTCAACATTCCGTACACTTCTAGACCCTCCTTATCCTTGGATTCTTTCCTTAGATTCTGTTCTTCTCTCTCGGCACAAGCAACAGATGATATGNCATTGGTCCATGTAGGTAATCCTTAAGCCCTATTCCTTCCTTCAACATTCGGTACACTTCTAGACCCTCCTTATTCTTGGATTCTTTCCTTAGATTCTGTTCTTCTCTCTCGGCACAAGCAACAGATGATATGTTCTCCTTGGACCCCTGTAGACCCTCCGTTTCCAGCGTTTCATCTTCGTCGATGTCGAGCCCCTTCCATACGTCCTCTACAACCTTGACCCATTCCGTGGGTTGTCAACCCCTCTTTTTACTTGCCCACTTCGCCTCCCATACAATTCTCGGCAACCTCTCCTCTCCCATCCCGCACATGCGATACTGTTATGTCAGCTTCCTCGCGTCTCTTCCCGACCGTAGGGATCGGATCCCCAATTCTGCCCTGATGGCTGCATTACTCGTGCGCTTGGAGCATCCTAGGATGGTTTTCGCTGCTGTCATCTGCGCCGCTTTGAGCTTTTTCACTACTTTCTTTTTTCCTTCCCATACTTCTCTGGCGTAATCTAACGGCGGTATGATTACGCTCTTCAACACCGTCAATTTGATGCGTGTATCGAGGTGCCGGTTTGCGAGTATTGGGTGCAGCTTCCCTGCTCGTGCTTTGCCCTTTTCCGCTACCTTGGACATGTGTGCATTCCACGAGCAGTCTTTTGCGATCTCTACTCCGAGGTATGTGTACTGGTCCACTACTGCAATCTCCTCGATCCCCCACTTCCATCTATGTTCTACTGGTTCCTCCTTGTTCTCGTTGCA